CTTTTCTTTATACACAAAAACAAATATTTTTTTGTTCTAAGCGTTTTTTAAATAATATTTATTAAATTTTATAAAATGAGTCTTGTAAATAAATGCTTTAATCCATTAATAATGTTATAATTTATATATTTTTTAAGGACCAAAAAGAAATTAAAATAAGGGGAAAAAATGATAAGTTATTTGACTCATTTGATGATGTGTCCAGTGATGAATCAGTAAGTATACTTATCTGTAGATGTAATTTCATATATGTGATACATAATATATATTATAATAAAATATTATACAGTATTATACTCATGTGTATGCATTAATTAGTATTATTGATGTTATAATTCATATTTTTTTTAAGGTTAAAGAGGACATTAAAACCTCTGAGGTTGATTCGGAATAAACTTTACAACATAACACTTTGTGTTTTATTTCAGTATACTATTGTACCTCAAGTTTAATTATACAAAGTTTATACAAAAGTGCTCTTTTAGTTCCACCCTTACTTCTTAAGAAGTCCCATAAGCCAACTGAATGGCTTCTGCCGGTTAGGGGTAGGAACGGACCGCGGGTTTAAAGTCCCCTTCGAAAGACTAATACACAATAGGACAAACACAAATAAACAGCCATACCCCTGGTGGGATTCGAACCCACGACCTCCGGCTTGTAGTCAGCAGCACTAACCACTAGACCACCGTCGGCGTGGATGGCATAATTGTCTAAAAAAATATTCTCCAATTGGACATAAATCACATCTTATTTAACATTTTTCATTTGACTTTATTTACAAATATAACAAAATCTGTTATTTTATAAATAACACGTTTTATTTTGTTTCCAATTTAAAATTAAGTGCAAAAAAAATTGAGTATACGCACGAAATTCACCTTAAATACGCACGCGAAGATGCGTCCTCCCCTTGAATTTACCGTAAATGCACAAGTGAAGCTCGAAGTGAGTGCGCACGCATGCTAAAATTCGCGCGAAAAAATTGAAATTAATGGTGAATGCACATTTTTGTTCAGAAAACTTATTTTATTCTATAGGGGAAAATATGTTTTCTGAACATGCACCCTTATTTCATATTTTTCGCGCGAATTTAGAACACGCATGCATTTACGGTGAATTTAAGGGACGGACGCATCTTCACGTGTGCATTCACGGTGAATTCAGGTGTGCATTTAAGGGGCGGACGCATCTTCACGTGTGCATTCACGGTGAATTCCAGGGGCGGACGCATCTTTTAGCAACCGTGAATTCACGCGTGAAGCAATATTTTTCACCGTGCATTCACGGTGAACTCACGAATGTTATCTGGGTTAAGAATGAGCTTCATTCTTCAACGATTTTGCGTGCGAGAATATGACATTCTTACATAAAAATCGAGAAAAGTTATAAGATCGCTAACAACAACTAATGATATAAAAAGTTTACCATGACTAATTTTGAAAGGAATTGAAAGTATTATAAAGTTTAATGGACTTTTTTGATTTGTCATCATTAGTTCACCTAAAACACCTTAAAAATCATAATTCCAATTCAGCTGCTGAATTTGAATAAACTGGATTTGGTTAAGTTTTCATATAACAATAAAATTTAATGTTTTCGATATAAAATATTTTAAATAAATAAATAAAGTTTAGTTTATTTAAAACGTTTAATACAATAAAAAATATATGAGTCTCGAGTCTGAATATTTTAAAAATAACAATATTAAATAATAAATAAAACTAACTAATTTAAAATATACTTTACAAATTTTTTATTTGTTTTTGAAATTGACGCCCGATTTTTTTCCGAAATAAATAAACCAATACAAAATCGTTATCTTAAATAACTTTGATGAAAATAATATTTTGGCAAGTATTGTTATCTTAATTAATACAAAAGCAGTTTTTTATTTCAATACGCACATATCAACAAATATTTATGTAGAACCATTTTTAAATTCTTAAATGTTTAAAATTATGTTTACGTATGTATGTTTAAAGTAATATTTTTATAAAGGATTTATAAGTGGATCTGATTTTAATCTATTTATTTCATATTCATATTTTTGTTTAAAGTAATATTTTTATGAAGGATTCATAAACTAATTTGGTTTATAAAGGGTTTTTCAATAGGGACGACGCATTTTATTTTTGACATATTTCGAATAGGAGTGTAGTTGGCTTAGCAATTCTTTGACATTTTGAAACGTCAGTCTATGCCATTTAACCATGGCACGCTTCAACAACCTTTGCAAATTATTCAACTTTTTTTATCAAAGTTCACGTTTTATCGCGACTACGTTGCGTGAGCTTACGACAGTGGCGGCTCGTCAGGGTAGGCCTCTGAGGCCGCGCCTCACCCTTAAAATAAAGGAACGAACGACTTTTTGTATTTATATTTTTGCCTATTACAAGTGTATTTTTACAACAGTTCTACCCAATAAAAAGTAAAAAACCAATCAATCATATTAAGCGTAAATAAAAATCCAGGCGCAAAGGGCGTCAAGTTAACGTGCATCGTTGAGTCGCTTGGACAGAGGCGAAATTTTCACAGCCTCGGAAGCTCCCATTTACCTCTTGAAAGCGAAAATGACTCACCAACAAAAATATCGCCGTAAGTTCGCGAATAAACACCGTAGATGAGGCGAAATTTAGTTGGCTTGGTTTGTTCTGATTGGTGGTCCGTTTATGGTGGGATGCCAGCGGAGACAAAGAAGGTTGCCAGTCTTCTCTTAGCGTTTGTAGAGCACGTTATTGTTTTGATTCAGATTAAATTATTTAAAACTTTTGGCTGATCTTTTATAGTTTTTGTCTCGATTAGTAAAATTTCTTATTTAATTATTGTAGGGAACACACTAAGGTAGATTTAGCAGTTTTTATTAAGCAAATTTTATATTTTGAAATAATAGATTGCATAATTCTTCAATTAGAGACGCGGTTTGAAAATTTAGAATTACTTTTAAATCTCACTGCAGACCCACAATTTTACGACCAAATAATAGATAAATTTTCAATCTTAAAAGATAGACGTATAGTATTTTATATTTTTTAATACTTAGGTAGGGGTCGACTTTTTAGTTTTATTTTTATTTTTTGATTAATTTATTTATTTTTAACTTTTTTAAGACTATATTTTAAGTTTAAGATTAAAACTAGTCTTTGATGTGATATTTTGTTTGTTTTGTTTTTTAGAGTTTATTTTTTGGTTTAGTAGTGCTATCGGCTCCATTTTAAAAAAGGTCAACGCGTCGCAGAATAATACCTCCCGGGTGACGTGGAAATTTATTCGTATTTAGACAAAATTAACCTTATGTAGCCTCACCCTCCTGTACACCCACGAGCCGCCACTGGCTTACGACAATTTTCAGTCGACGCAACGGTCCTCGGGAATGTCCGCCTCGTGCGTGCAATTTAGACTTTTTTCTTTGGGCTTACATTAAATCGCTGGTCTATGCCAACAAGTCAGCAACGTTAGAAGAGCTGCAGGCCAACATTGAACGCGAAATTTCTGGTATTTCGGCCGTTTTGTATGCCCCAGTCATGAAAAATTGGGTCCAACGTATTCACTCGTGGCAGCGCTTCCGCGGTAAACATTTAAACGATGTCGTATCCTATAAATAATGGCATCGATTGTACTTTCATTTAAAATAAAAATCATTTCTATAACTAACCCACAAGTCTTTTAATTGAAAAAAACAAAATGCGTCGCTCTTATTGAAAAATCCTTTATTTGTTATTGGTTTAAAAATATTGTCTGCGAATTATTTAAGACATCTACTTTAATAATTTAAATGAGATTTTAAAAAAGCCATTTAAAAGATCTATTTAAGCTTAAAACTACAGTTTTAAAGCATGTTTTAACACTTTTTTGTTTTTAATTGAATGATTCCATTCTATTTTATTTTATTATATTGTATAGAATACATGTTTTTTACACTGAATAACCTATATGGGTATACCTATACCTATACCTTATAATACATTTTTAACGATACCTATCCTTGGGAGGATTGATAGGCCTGCTCATGACTAATCAGAATATCAAAACATTAGCTTGGTAATAGTATATTAAAGTACAAGTTGCAGAAGGTCACATATTCTCGCACGAATTCGAAATTTGGCCTCGAGCGACGAAGGAGCGAGTGGACGAACGAATGAGTGCGAGAATAGCCTTCTGCAACGTGGGATTTATACTATTTTCTCGATTTTAACTTTTATTTAGGTTTTTTTAATTGTTTTGTGGTCGTTGCTAGTTAGGGGATTTTTCTCGCAAAATGTCAGTTGGCAACACAAAATGACAATATTTGTTATCCTGCACAAGTACAACCTGAACTGCAATTTTACACATTAAACTTAAAATTTTGCACTAAAATGCATTGTTGGAGCAAACTTTATATTACAAAACAATAATAAAGGCTTCATTTTCAATAAAAGTAATGAATTTGAGGTTATTAATCAGTTTGACATTTTGGGGGTACCAATACTTAAAAACTAAATGTTACCAAAAATCGTTTAAGAATGAGCTTCATTCTTCAACGATTTTGCGTGCGAGAATATGACATTCTTACATAAAAATCGAGAAAAATCTTTAGTTTTTAAGATTTTGTCACTTTTATGAATTTAGTGAAACTCGAACCCTTAAATCCGTTTTTCGAGTGCCACAGCTACAAAATTCCATATTCTAAGATTTTATGTTTTGTTGCGCATAAACTTTATAAAGTACCAATATCTCAAAAACCAACGATTTTTTACAAAGGTCGTGTTTTAATATTCTGATTAGATATATTATTGGTAAATTTAATTTTTATTCTAATTATTAACTGAATAAATAGCGATGAGTAATAACTTAAGTGTATGTACTTAAGAAACAACGAAAATCCCTCAATAAAATCATAACAAAATACTTCAAATTATTTATCATATCCTTCATAATCATATAAAAGTAAGAAAAATCATAACATTTTATATAGTATTCGTTTTCGTTTCTCAATACTAATTTATTAAAAACAATTTATAAAAATGAAACAACAAATTATCATTTTTACTGTACTTCTAATCGGTAGTGTGTTTGCTGGACTTATCCAAGAGATTAAATTAAAGGATGATACTGTAATAACGGTAAGTTTAATTTTATTATATGTATTATATTTTATTAAACATTTTGAAGTTTCTATTCGTGACCCTTAAAGGACAATTATTAAATTGTATCTTAAGTTTATACTTATTTCATTAAAAAAGCATATAAATGGATTTAAACTACCGAGAAAATGCAACCAATTATTCCGATTTATTTAATCATGTTTTGTGAAATAAATATATTAGTATAATTCTGCCCTGCTAAGCTGTTGAAACAATAAAAATTATCTCTTGTTCTTTAATATTTATTATTGTAGTTACGACTTTTTAGCTTAGAATTTTTATTTTAAAGCAAATTATTTGTTTTTTTTAAATTTAGGTCCAAGCCACCAATAACACCAAAGTTCCAAGCATACTTTGGACAGTAGATGCCGTAGAATGTTTAAAAGAAGCCATTACAGTATACGCTGATGAACCTTTAAGAGCCAGTGCCTATTTGGAACTTTTCGAAGCTAAACACCCAGGTAACTGGAGTGTTGCTGTTGGGTACACCACAATCATCTCCAACTCCGACATCTACGTCGAAACTACTGTGTCCGGTGGAGGCAAAAACTTCAAAAAAGACAAATCTGGCGGTGTTCTTTACAGGATTTTCAATTAAGTGATTATGAACCGATAAGATGATATAAATATATATTTATTAATAAATGATAAAAATAAACTATTCTCTTTTTTACTAAACTATACAAGGTGTCCCTAAACTTAGTGGCATAAATTTAGGAGCAGATTAAGCAAGTCAAAATAAGACGAAAATATAAATAAATATTTTTCCTAATTACGTATGTTTAAAAGATACCGGGTGATAAAGTGTTACTTATCATATCAGTTTTTTTAATATAACTTCTTCTATGGTAGACTTGGAAAGGTGATATTTTGCGAACAGTCACTTACTACCAAAACACATATTCACACATAATTACAATTGTTCGAGTGAACGCAGTGTCGTAGAAACAGGGGTTGCTTAAGCTTATTGTCCCATCCAAACTTTAAGGTTAGGTTTTTTTACCATTTGATGCAATTTTTTTAATGTGACGCGTGACCGCGGTCAGGGCAAAAGTCCCAAGGCTTATGGAATGCCCTTTTTAGTTTTTTCAATTAAAAAATAAAATTTGTCCCTAAACTTATTGGCATAAAGAAAAGATTGAGCAAGTAAAAATAAGACGAAAATCTAAATAAATATTTTTCCTAATTACTTATGTTTCCAAGATACAGGGTGATAAAGTGTTAAGCTGGGTACCTTATTATTGTCATGTCATCAATATGTAGTGGGACAGCTAGCTGCCTGGTAACGGTGTGTGGCACTAAGCAGCAGTTTTTGTCCACCCTTGTCATGTAATGATTACTACAATAAATCTCCTTAATAGTATTCCTGATGACACAAAGGGCCGGTTTTTCAATCGTTGGTTAACTTTATCTTACGGTTAATTTCCTTAGATACTATTGTTAACACAATAGTATCTAAGAAAGTTAACCGTAAGTTAAACTTAACCAACGATTGAAAAACCGGCCCTAAGTGACCCTTTAAAGACACATTGACAATTGGTGGATTTATGGAGTTAAGTTGGTGGAGTGCACATAAAACATTTTTTTCACTTTCACTGTGAAAACCTGGTTATAGTTCATTTACAAGGGATACATTTTGATTTATACATAAAAATTTGACATTTTCACCGGCGCGCCGGTAATACAGATTCCAAAGAATGGTTACTGTATTGTTTTATAGATGTAGCTCTATATAAATATTTTAATCATTTTTATAAAATAATGAGCATTTGTCGTAGAAAAAGTATGGTATGCAACTCGTTTATAAACTTTTCTAGACACTCATTTAATTAAACACTTGTTCGCAAGCTAATTAAAATTCCTAATTAAAATGGCGTTTATCAAACTTGATACCTAATATACTATTAAAAATAAATGTTTTTTTGTATCTATACAGAAAAGTTCTGACAAATTTGTAAAAATGGGATTTTAACCGTTATGGTTCTATTTTTGTTCAACCGATTAATGATAGGGGGAAGGGGGGTCCAAAGTCCACATAAAAAAGTTGACCTATTACTTTTAATACTAATATATTACACAGTTCAACACGATTTTCCCCTCATGAAAAATTTGTACAGATTTTAAAAATAAAGGTTTAAAAACGGATCCGTGTCTCACCGTTTCACGAAATCACGTCATTTAATTTTTTACACAGCCATTCTTATTATTTTAACGTATACAGATTTTAATATGGAATTAACTATATCCTAAAAACTGCTCCACTTTCATAATTTTTGACGGTATTTTCGGATTCAGGGGACAATTTTACATAATAATTGGCTGTTAAATTTTGGGATACCATAGTATTCCATGGTTAACCATGGTACAAGTCAAAAAGCAGACACTAATAACTAGTAAATTAGAAATTTTTTACTAATTTTTAGAGAGCAAATAGGAAATTAAAAAACATTTCGATTAATGTAACTATTAACTATACCTAAAGTTAATAATTTCAGAGATATTTAACAATATCCAAAACTTTAAATATTAATTTGTATCAAGAAACCTCTGTGCATGATCCATACACCTTATCTGTGTTATCTGTGGTTTCCACATAATCTGTCATTGTTTAAAATTTAATGGCGCCAATTTTTCAGGTTGATATAAACAATTTGTTGACTAATTAAGTGTTTTGTAAACAAAATTACTGATACAAAAGCAATCAGAGAATTTTAAAAAATATTGACAAGCCTTTTTAAAATTTAAAAGTAGTACAAACAGTATTTGCTCATTTTTTAAAAAATCAACAAAGCTGTAGAATGTCAACTAGATGAAGCACTAGCAACAATTTTTATTACTAATTTATTAGTTAGCCCAATTTGCCCTGCTCTCTAAAAATTAATTAGTCAAAAATGACTAATTTAATAGTTATTAGTGTCTGCTTTTTCACTTGTACCAAGGTTAACCATGGAATATCATGGTATCCCAAAATTTAACAGCCAATTCTTATGTAAAATTCTCCCCTGAATCCGAAAATACCCTCAAAAATTTTGAAAGTGAAGCATATACAATTCCATATTAAATGGAAAATTTAAAAACTGTTATATTTTTTTAACTTTTGATTGATAATTTTGATATTTTCGGATTCAGGGACAATTTTACATAAGAATTGGCTGTTAAAGTTTGGGATACCATGATACAAGTGAAAAAGCAGCCACTAATAACTATTAAATTAGTCATTTTTGACTAATTCATTTTTAGAGAGTGGGTTTTCATAAGTAATTTGTTGAAAAATGTCATAGAATGGAATCTTTTAAACAATGTTTTAAAGATTTCAAAAATTCCAACCCTATATCCGCAAACCTAATAGTTATAGGCTATTTTTGTTTAACGAGCATTTGTCAAATTTGAACGAAAATAATTAATAGCTCGAAAACTATTCACTTTAGGTATAGGAGATGGTACAGTAATTTTACTCAGAATTTTATGTAGAATTTAAAAATGTGTTCTATTTAAAATAACAAAGTTGATGACACTTCCGGTAAAACCGGGTTGGCATTCTGTTTAAAATATTTTAAATAAAATAGGCTTAATTGGATTATAAACGCTTTAAAAATGTCAAATCGATATCTTTTGCCGTTCCTTAGAAACCTCCAATGGACCACGAACGTGATACACCCGTATTTCGTAAATGTAATTAATTTTAAAATTAATAAATAATTTTAATGGTTGTCCATTTATTTAGTAAATAAATTTTTCATAAAAATATACAGTAGGGTGATTCATTTCCACAAAGTTTTTTTTTTTCGGTGCTCAAGCAAAATATTAATCTATTTATTATATAGATTTATTTTTTACGGGCACGCTAGTGACGTAATAGATAAAAAACGTCATCACTGCCGTGCCGCTTAATTTAAAATTGGCGGCACAACAATAATATAATAATAAATTGTACCTGTATAAAAATAAAAAAAATTCGAATTGATGTGTTATGTTTATATTTATTTTTAGTCAAAAATCATAATAACTCTAGAAAAGTTATTGTTGTAGAGAATTATATCGATAGTAAATAAGAAAGTTTAATTTAAATAGCATAATTGGTTAATATTTATCAATTACCTACGTTTTAAGATATAAAAATGGCCGTAAATTCATCAAATATTTGTTAAAAGACTATTTTTTACGATTCAGCTCTTTTTTTTCACTATTTTTTGCGAATTGTTAAATGCAATTGCAAAAAAAAGTTCATTCAAAAAATTGAACTTTGATGACTCCTACTGGCGAACCACTACGAGTTACACAAAAAAACACAAAAACAATTTTGAAGAGCGTGAAATTCCCTATAAGGTCCATAAAACCGATTCACAATATTGTAAAGAGCGGGCGAGCATTAGAAATTTGAAAAAAAAAACATTTTTTTACATGCATTTTAAATGGGAAAACTTTAAATTTAAACTGCAAGTACTTAAAATTGATATTAAGAGCTCTACCTTGGTGAAATTTTTTTTTTCTATAGGTAGATTAATATTTTGCTTGAGCGCCGAGAAAAAAAAAGTTTTTTGCGGAAATGAATCACCCTAATATACAGTCTAGCTGTTATCGAAGCTGTTATAACGCCGAGACACGGATATAATTTGTTTTAAGTCTATTTTCAAAATCTATAGGAATTTTTCATGGGAGGGAAAAACACACAAAATCAAATTTTGTCGCACTGTGTTATTATATATTACATATTCCTTTAGGAAGCTAAAATCCGTGATTTTGACCATCAACCCCTTGTAGCTTTTCCGCCATCTTGTGTTAAGCGATTCGCGAATTATTTTTTTATATAATGGAAAAACAGCCGATACCATTTTTGAGAAGAGAAATAAGATCTATCTTATGTTACCACAAGTAATGTAAACAAAACAATGAATTATAATAATGCCCATAGAAATTTTTACAGCCTAGGAAGTTTTTTGAAGACATAAAATGTTGACATAAATAAATAGTTATTAAATAATTAATATAATGTCACAGTCGTGCAAAGCTAATAGTATATTATGTATCAAGTTTGATAAACGCCATTTTATACACGAATTTAATTTAGGCACGAGCGAGCTTGCGAGCGAGTGCTTGAGTTAATGAGTGTATAGAAAAGTTTATAAACGAGGTGCATACTATACTTTTTCTACGACAAATACTTATTATTATCTTAAAATGATTTAAATAAAAAAATTGTATAGATCGCCATCTATGAAACAACAGGGAAAACTGTCAAATGTCACATTTTTACATTTTATAAACACAATTATAAAGGTTATAAATCGAAATATATCTTGAAAATTGACAGTTTCCACAAGTAAAGGAAATGTTTTATGAGGACTTTACAGTAGAGTCCGTGCCCGAATTTAAGTTATAGTTTACTGCCGGTGAAATTAAAAGGTCAGTTCATATAAACTTTTCAAATATTGGCGTTGAGAAACTATTTAATATTTTTGTATTTTTGTATTGAGATAATAAAATAATTTTCACATTTAGTATTATTTTACAAGAAAGGCACTTTATTTTAACGATTGTATGACATTTGACAACTGTCAACTAACTTAAAAGCCCGTGACTAAAAACCTGTTGCTAACTTCAGCCCGTGACTAAAGCGCTGTAAAGCCACAACTTGTCAATGTGTATTTAAAAGGTCACTTAGTGTCATGGAAACATGTACTATAAAGGGCGTTTTAAAGGTGGGAGTAGAAAAAAGACTTTTTTAAATAGATCCAAAACAAATCTATTAATTTTTAATAAAAAAAATATAAATTATCAAATTACTAGAAAAACAGAAAAATGATGACAAAAGCATCCAAAATCCCTCGCTCTAGGGTTTGAATTTAAAGCCAATGTTAATTAATAAATATTTGACATTTGACGAATTTAACCTCATTTCTTCGCAATTTATAAAAAATCTAACTTCATCCCGTGACTAAAATGCCCAAAAGCCACTGTTGTGGCTCGTGACTAAAACATCATAAAGTCACAGCTCGTTAATGTAGGAGTAGATAATAGTATATTATGTATCAAGTTTGATAAACGCCATTTTAGACACGAATGTCTAGAAAAGTTTATTAACGAGTTGCATACTATACTTTTTTTACGACAAATACTTTATTATCTAAAATTGATTTAAATTAAGTATTTGTAAAGAGCGCCTTCTATAAAACAATAGGGGAATCTGTGTTACTGTCAAATGTCAAATTTATATAAATTTATGTGTTATATGTGTTATAAACATAGATTATAAATCAAAATGTATCCCTTGATTAAACAACTGTTTTTCACAGTGAAAGTGAAGAAAATGTTTTATTAGCATTTCACGGTGGAGTCCGAGCCCGACTTTAAGTTATATCTAGTTTACTGCCCGCTAAATTAAAAGTTCAGTACAAAGTTCATATAAACTTTTAATTGGCGTTGATAAACTTTTGTATTTTTGTATTGAGATAATAAAATAATTTTCACATTTAGTATTATTTTAGAAGAAGGGCACTTTATTTTAACGAATGTATGACATTTGGCAACTGTCAACTAACTTAAAGCTAACTTCAGCCCGTGACTAAAAACCTGTTGCTAACTTCAGCCCGTGACTAAAACGCCGTAAAGCCACAACTTGTTAATGTTTATTTAAAAGGTCACTTAGTGTCATGAAAACATGTACGATAATGGGCGTTTTAAAGGTGCACTCCATAAGCACATTTTATCTGGTTTTTTTAGTAATTTGTTTTATATTTTTATTAATGTTAACTAGTTTATTAATATTTAGTGATAATTGTGCATTTTGTCTAAATAATAGTATATTAAAGAACTAATGACGAAGGAGCGAGTTTTGTAATGGACGAGTGCGACAAAAGGTCTTATGACATAAGTTCTTTATGCTATTTTATCTATTTTGTAAAAATTATATAAAAAAATTAATTTTATACCTTAAATTTAATTTGGTCGAATTTTTCTTTAGATAGTTGGTATCAAAGTCATTGGTTTGACAGTTAATATCAAAATCGATTCGCCATGCCGTCCTTAATAAATTAAGGACGGCATGGTGCTAATTGTAAATAAGTAAATTTACTTATTTACAATAAGCGGCTGTTAATGTTAAAGAAGAAAAAAATGATTTTCTTTAGTGTTAAACAAAAGTCTCGTAAGTACCTACTAGAAAAATCATAAAAATATTATAACCATTATGCAAAATATTATACTGTTTAAAGTATAGCCAACCTATAAAATCAAAATTTTGGGTAGGATAAAGTATCTCATTACAGCACCGAAAGCGGTGTTATAATGAAGTCATTATAAACGCAAAATAGATAAAAATGTTTTTTGTAATGCGGTATTTGAAAAAAAATATTGTCTATAATATCTTTACCTTACCAAATTAATAGTATATTATGTATCAAGTTTGATAAACGCCATTTTATACACGAATTTAATTTAGGCTTAAAATAATGAGTGTATAGAAAAGTTTATAAACGAGGTGCATACTATACTTTTTCTACGACAAATACTTATTATTATCTTAAAATGATTTAAATCAAAAATTTGTATAGAGTGCCATCTATGAAACAATATGATAATCTGTGTGTCACTGTCAAATGTCAAATTTAAAACACAGTTTATAAATCGAAATTTATTTCTTAAAAATTGACAGTTTTTCACAGTGAAAGTAAAGAAAATGTTTTATAAGCACTTTATAGTGGAGTCCGTGCCCGAATTTAAGTTATAGTTTACTGCCGGCGAAATTAAAAGGTCAGTACAATGTTCATATAAACTTTTCAAATATTGGCGTTGAGAAACTAGGTATTATAATACTTTTGTATTTTTGTATTGAGATAATAAAATAATTTTCACATTTAGTATTATTTTACAAAAAAGGCACTTTATTTTAGCGATTGTATGACATTTGAAAACTTAAAAATAACTTCAGCCCGTGACTAAAAACCTGTTGCTAACTTCAGCCCGCGACTAAAGCGCCATAAAGCCATAACTTGTCAATGTGTATTTAAAAGGTCACTTAGTGTCATGGAAACATGTACGATAAAGGGCGTTTTAAAGGTGGGAGTAGAAAAAATTATTTATTATCTCACAAAATATTACCAGCCTCTAACAGTAAAGTACCAAAAGCGAATCTAAGTATGCGGAAATATCGGTAATCGGTAATAAATAAATAAACAAACAAGTGCGAAAAGTGCAACAAGTGCGAAAAGTGCGGGAGGACCCCGGTTAACGCCGTAAAATAACAAAAAAAATCAATATCGATTCTACACGTGATAACTGTCCCAAGTGCAAAAGAGTGCGGGCGGCATGCGATAAGAATCATTTCAGCACACCTCCCTGGCAATTATCCCAAAGTCCAAGTCTGCATAAATTAGATAAGTAGCTACCAAAATTGCATGACCATATAATACCCAATAATATTAATACTAGTTAATACGAAATACGCAACCTTTAACTAACAATAATTCTTCAGGTAAAATTAATTAGTCGCAAACAATTTCCAAGATTCTCATGCAAAAATGAAACATAGTCAAAAAAAACTATAAACACAAGGGCACATCTATAGATTACAAAGAAGTTAAGGGGGCCATAAATTAGGTAAAAATCGTTCCAAGCGTAAATATATAGCCACACCGCACAGTGAGGCACAAAGATGGACCCAACTCCAAGTGAATGGGGATCACGCACAGTGGGAAAAAAATAAAAATAAAATAATTCGAGGGTATTGACAAATTCAGTGGGTTAAACAAAGGCGGGAAAAACAGCTGCTTATGAAGTCGGTTCTCGGCATGAAGAGCCGAATTTCCACATAGTCAGAGGGCACTAATTACGGCGGGGTGCGGCCGGCAACACTTCGGTTCTGAAGATAAGACTCAATATCGCACAGGGGGGCAAACAATTCTAAAGCGGCTATCAGGAACCGAAATCTGACTCGGACAGCGACGAACAGGAAGTACACCATCAAGGAAAGGCGCTAGCAGCATACTAATCCACCTACCCCCATTCAGGAATCCCAACTGAATGGGGTTATTACTAAAGCCCTGGTTGAGGAGGATTCCGGATTGTACTTAGTTTTGGGTCAGTTCAATGTCCTCCAAAAACCCTTCCTAAACTGGACGTATGGCCCGACCCGTCTGACAAAAATCCGTGGATCTATCAGCCGGCGTAAAAACTTCGGATCCAACAAACACAGGTAATGCTGTGATTTGGCGGGATACGCAGGAGAACGGAAAGGGTGTAAAATAACCCCGGGATATTAGTGGAGGATAATGTATTCGGGGCCTGCTACTCATACTCAAAATATTACCATCCTCTAACTCTCAACTCAAAAGTTATTAAGGGTGACTAGTTTTTAATTGAAAGCCCTGTATAATATATAATCTAATTTTAGTTTAATTTTAATTTTTAAAAAAATTTTTATTTTATTTTATTAATTTGTACATATTATGTTATTTTAATTTATTTAATATTTATGTTTATTTCTTTTATACAACTATAATAGTTAATATTTATGCATGTAATTATTTAAAATAATGTGAGTAATATATTATAGCAATGCGTATGTCTTTTGTGATCTTTTAGCAATAAATAATAATTATAATAATATTAATACTAATAATTATTATTATCTTACTTTACTTAAGTCTATTCGAAAATAAGTCGTGAGGAGTTAGATATTTTTTGGATCTAAGAAGGTAAAAATAATTTAATAAAGGTATATTTATGTCCTATTCTTTATTTGTATTTATACATTTAAAAGAGAATTCACATTAGCTTTAAAATTGTTTATATAAAAAAATCAAATTTAGTCATAATAATTTAATTAAAAATCCTATAAAGAACTCCAGTTTTGTCTTTTTTGCCCCCACCAGATACAGTAGTTTCAACGTAAAGGTCTGAATCGGAGATGAGTGTGGTATATCCAACAGCAACACTCCAGTTACCAGGGTGTTTAGCTTGGAAAAGTTCCAAATAAGCACTGGCTCTCAAAGGTTCATCAGCGTATACTGTAATGGCTTCTTTTAGACATTCTACGGCATCAACGGTCCAAACTATACTTGGAACTTTGGTGTTGTTTGTGGCTTGGACCTTAAAAAAATATATATTATTAGGTGTACATTTCCTTGAGAGCCTGGAAAATAATACTTTTTTAATTTCATGTATTTTTCTCCTTAATTATTTTCTTACAAAATATTTTTGCATATTAAAAAATTTCACATATCGACCTTGTGGACCAAAAATTAAGTGAATATATACAAAATTATAAAATAAATCACATACACAATATTTTATAATTTTCAGTAAATTTTTCAAGTTCATAAAATTGTAATATATTAATCGCGCTTGCTATCAAATCAGCTAATGAATATCGACAAAACTAACTTAAACTAAAAATTTTGTTTTCTTGAGTTACAAAATATTTTTGCATTTTAAAAAATTTCACATATCGACCTTGTGGACCAGAAATTAAGTGAATATATACAAAATTATAAAATAAATCACATACACAATATTTTATAATTTTCAGTAAATTTTTCAAGTTCATAAAATTGTAATATATTAATCGCGCTTGCTATCAAATCAGCTAATGAGTATCGACAAAACAAACTTAAACTAAAAATTTTGTTTTCTTGAGTTGTCAGTTTAAGTATGAGTTTACAGTAAAATAAAATTTATCTATAAACCTATTATCCTTTTTCTATGCTATTACCTATAGAACAAAAAAATAGTGTCAGTAATGTTTAAGCTTAGCTTTTAATCCAATGTATTTGTTTTAAACGTTTAATTAAATATTTTTTTAGGATTCTGTCACATCATTATAGGTTCAACTGACATGATTTCATTGTTTTTGTACGGATTTAATAATAATTTGACTTTTGACAGCGCCGGATTATAAAAATTTGCGCCCCGGGTCTATTAAAAATTTTCCGCCCCCACATATATAATAAATTCAAAGAAATGTCACTTCTTAACAAAAGGATGTTATTTAACCATAAACATTAGGGTTGTAGTATTTTTTTGATTTTGGAGATCAAATAAAAAAAATAAGTCTAAAGTATTTGAGTTTCAACAGATGAAAAAATTTTAGACGTCGCTCAAAACTTTTTTAAACCAACCTTTTTTCTCAAAATCTTTGGCTTCTCACTATTTTTTTTGTAGGTCGTATAGGACCATAATACATTTTTAAGTCAAAATATTATTGGTCGCTCAATATTTTTGAAATAAATTTGGGCGTTTCTCTGTAAACTGGGCAACTTGAAGTAAGAAATTGTCTAGGCAAGTTTTTTTGTTATATTTTTGTTGTATTTAATAAATGTTATTCGAGGATTAAATATCGGTATATTTATTAGTATACGGCAGATGAACCAAAAATATTCCTATTACTTTGGAAAACATTGAGCATTTTCTGAAAAATCTATACTGGGGACTGTTTATAAAATCCGGAGACAAAGTTTAGATGACTTTTTTAGAATTACAAAATAATAATTATAAAAAATAAATAAGTCACAGTAACAAGCAAACAATATTGGTTGAAGAATTAAACAATTAGGTTGATTCCAATAGTTACTGTCTTTAATTAATTTAGTCTGAAGTGACCATTTTGCTTTGGTGACACGTCAGGGGACTGGTTTTTAAGGACTATAAAAACGATTTTGATACATTAAAGTTTATTTTATTGGATTTTGAACGTCAAGCATAGGTAGATTAGGTTATTATCTTTTGAAGTTATCTACGAAATATTTATGATCTGTTATTTTTCTAAACAATATTAGCTTGAGACAATGAGTTGCCCAGTTTACAGAGAAACGCCCATTTCTTGATTTTTTTAATAATTTTGATCTTGTAACCACTACTATTTTTCCAATTTAGTTGATTTTTTTGAGCGACGTTTATTTTTTTTGAGTTGAAACTTGAATACTTTAAACTTAAATTGTTTCATGTGAGCTCCGAAATAAAAAAAATGTCGAAAAAATATTGCCACCCTAAAAACATAAACAAAAACTATATAAAAAACAAATACCTAAATAAGAAAATTAACATTTTGCCAACTCAACTTTGCGTGCTTTTAGAGAAGTAAATTTGTTTATCGCAATATTAACGTCATCTTTCAATAGGCTAATACCTATACTACCTAAATATATATATATATATGACTGGTACTATATATAGCTATGGTTTTAAACTAATTTAAATTAATAGTTGTTCGTAGTGTAATAAAATATTCTTATATTAAAAAACCTTTACGCCCATACGCATCGCATCGGTGGAAATAATCAATTTCTGCAAACTAAAGTTCTTGTCGCCCAACAACTTGTCGGGCGCCCTACGTAATACGTGACATGACTATTTCGTATACTATGCATAAATAATAATACTATGGCAACAATCACGGTTATAATTTAAATAATTTTTTTATTAAAACTGATTAATACACGAAAAATTAAAAAAAGGGGAAAACCCTTTAGGTTGTAGTAAAAAACATAAATTACCAGTCAAAAATTTTGCGCCCCCTGTAAGCTTGCGCCCCGGGTCTATAGACCCCCAAAGACCCCCCCTAAATCCGGCGCTGACTTTTGATCTAGTATTAATATGAAGTCTTTCTATATACTTAGACTCATAAGTTTTGAGTGTTATTGTAATAATTATAATGCGTTTTTGGCGCAGTAGCAAAATCTTGTTTATTCATTTGCTTTACTTTAATAGTTTAAGCCTAAAAGTTTCAATAAAATATTAACATTTAAACTTACGGTAATTATTGTGTCATCCTTCAACTTAAATTCTTGAATAACTCCAGCAAATACACTGCCAATTATTAGGAAAACAGTGAAAATAACAATTTGTTGTCTCATTTTTGTAAAATGTTTTTAGCGTATTGATACTTAAATCAGGAATTAAAACTATATAAAATGCAATGGTTTTTCTCCTTTTATATGATTTTAAGTACATTTGCTTCCTATATTATTCTGATAAATAATTTGAAGTATTTTGATATGATTTTATCTAGGGATTTTTGTTATTTTTTTTTATAAGTAGTTATACTAGGAAAAATATAATTTATATTTTAAATTATTTAAAAAACAAGCGACGAATATTATAATGGACCGGTGCGAAAAAATGTCTTGTGAAATGAGTTCTTTATATTTTTTTTCTATTTCTCAAAATTAAAAAAAAATACGAATTATAAATTATATTTGCGTATTTGTACTGTTGCCATGGAGACAACACAGGCCCGTAGCCAGGAGGCGCCCTACAGAAAATTTAACAAGAGTAAATACAAATTTCTTTTTCCTAATTATTCTTGCTTATATCTATGGATCTCTAGCCATCCAAGCTTCTAAAAGAAGTTCAGGAGGGAGCCGGGAGATCTGGAGATAATAGCGGTTGTTCCAACCTATTCTTCTCCTATAGGACTTTCGTAACTCGAGAAGAGCAGGGCAATTATAAATAATATGCATCACGTTTTCTTCTCCCTAGTTACAGGTTTTACAAAGAGGACTGTCCACTTTTTTCAATGTATGAAGGTGTTTGTTGAGTCTGCAGTGACTCGTTATAATTCCTACTGTATCCCAAATATTAGGCACACGTCCCCAAGATCCCTCAGATTTTGTACCATTTATTTCCTAACACCCTGTTAATAATATTCCATAATACTTAACATTATATCTTAAAATCTACAGATTAGTATCATTGGATATTAAAAGATTGTAATCAATTTCTTATTCAAAATAGTTTAAAATTATTCTGTTAGTAAACAAGAAACATCAAACTAAAATACAGGGTGTCACAAATATACAGGGTGTCACGAATGGTTTTCTCGTGTTCATACAATTTACAGTTAAACTATGACCGGTCACCAGTGGCAGCTCGTCAGGGTACGCCTCTGAGGCCGCGCGTCACCCTTAAAATGAAGGAACGAACGACTTTTTGTATTTAACTTTTTGCCAAATACAAGCAGAGCTGTCAGAAAAAAGTATCTTAGTTACTTTAGAGTAACTTAGTTACTTTAAAGTATCTAAGTTACTGTATCTTAGTTCCTTTATTTTTTTAACAAAAAGTATCTAGTATCTTAGATACTTTTTAAAAGGAACTGTATCTTGTAACTTAAAAAAAGTATCTTAGATACCGAAAAATATCTTAGATACCAAAAAGTAACTTAGATACCAAAAAGTATCTAAGATACCACAAGAAAAGTTCCTTTAGTCAAGTTGTTCGAAACGACCGCGGCCATCGAAGTTATTATAATAAGTATACTTGCGACTTCAGCGACTGGCGCCAATCGACTGGCGGCGATTTTTGTTATACCTACTTAATTTTTATTCACCTATACTTCTTTTATAATCTGTGACTTCGCCACCCGCTCTGTAGAAGGGTGTTTCCGTTCGTTGCGACTTGAATTTATAGTGGTAAGTCTGAAATAAGTTAGGTTAGGTAAGTACTTGCACTTGCTTCTTTATGATGTACTGATGTAGGATATTGGTTGTTACATTGTACCGTACATTCTATAATGTTCAATGTATGTTTTCCATTTTAAATTTTAAAAAAATGTTAAAAAAGATTAAATGAAAAGTGTGAGATAATTATTTTTATATTTATAATTAAGTGGTGTTTAATTAACGATTTTATCTCTTTTTATTTTTAAGATATTTTAAAAGTGCCTAAGTTAGACACTTTTTGCATTAGACCCTTCAATGGTTTTAATCAACTAGATTTTATTGAAAAAAATTGTTAAAAAAGTAAGCTTAAAATTATTTGAAAAATCAGGGTGGGGTTGGAACAAATTTTTGTTGGGCGGTTTATACGAAACTTATTACATAATATACAAAGTAACTAAAAAAGTATCTTATTAAGTATCTTAAAAAGTAACTTAAGATAAGTATTTAAGTTCCTTTTTTTAAAGAGTAACTAGCTAGTAACTATCTAGATACCCAAAGTAACTTCGGATACTTTTTCAAAAAGTAACTTATCTTGTATCTAGATACTTTTTAAAAGTATCTTTGACAGCTCTGAATACAAGTGTATTTTTGCAACAGTTCTACCCAATAAAAAGTAAAAAAGCAATCAATTATACTAAGCGTGAATAAAAATTCAGGCGCAAAGCGCGTCAAGTTTACGCGGTCAAACTCACTACATCGCGATGCATCGTCGGCAGGACAGAGGCGAATTATTCACAGCCTCGGAAGCTCCTATAGGAGATATATTTTGCATTTAAATATATTTAAATGCAAAATATATCAGCCAAGTTCGCCGCGAACTGTTCGCGTTTTTCTGTTGCTTTGAAGCGAAATAATATTAGCTTAGGTTGTTCTGATTGGTGGTTTTATCACATGACCGTAAATTATTCCGTGTCTTTCACATGATGGGAATTTAGGATGCTTCCCAGCGTGTCTAGATTAGTGTATTTTTATTTTATTATTGTGGTGCACTGGGGTACACACTACACAGATAAGGTAGATTTAGCAGTTTTTATTAAGCAACAAGTTGTGTTGAGTTTTAATTAAGGTTCGGTTTTCAAAATACCGGTTTTCTTTAGCTAAATATTTCTGTTTTTTTGAGATTATTCTGTAATAATAATTGAAACGCCTTTTTTGAGAAGAAACTAAACTGAAAAAAGACGATAAGCAATATTCAAGAACTTTTTAAATAATTTGGTATAAGTGGCTATGTGGAGGTATTTATAAACAAAGCTTATTTGTTGGCATTGTATTTTATTGAGCCGCGTTAAAAACAATTGGAATTCAGGGGGTGCGTATTCCGATTGCTCTGATATTTTATTTGTTTTATATACAAAAAAGTTTATATACAAAAGTGCTCTTTTAGTTCCACCCTTACTTCTTAAGAAGTCCCATAAGCCAACTGAATGGCTTGTGCGGGTTAGGGGTAGGAACGGACCGCGGGCTTAAAGTCCCCTCCGAAGGACTATTACACAATAGGACAAACACAAATAAACAGCCATACCCCTGGTGGGATTCGAACCCACGACCTCCGGCTTGTAGTCAGCAGCACTAACCACTCGTCCACCGTCGGCGATTAACTATATTAACTATATAACTATATTAACTATATATATAAATATATATATACATATATATACATATATATATATACATATATATGTATGTACATATATACATTTTTATCCATCCATATAAATATATATTTAAGTTTCAGATTTAAAAAACGATTAATGTTTTTGAGTTTCGCAGTTTGGGTTAAGATTGCTTTGATATTTTCTTTGTTTTGTTTTTTTTATTTATAACGGCTTAGTAGGGCTATCGGCCATTTAAAAAAAGGTCAACGCGTCGCAGAATAATACCTTCCGGGTGAAGTGGAAATTTATTCGTATTTAGACAAAATTAACCTCAACCCTCCTATACACCCACGAGCCGCCACTGCCGGTCACACTATATTTGTAAATTGTATAAAAAGGAGAAAAATTTCAAATTTAAAAATTTGTAATATAAATAAATGTATGTTAATAAAACAATGCATGCGGCGTTACATCTTCCGTATACGTAGTACGTACGTATTACGTACCTATGCAATACATACTATCGCGTATATTGGACCATTCTTGCATTAAAGTCATTGGAGAGTGTCAATTGGAAACCTTGCATAATAACTAAAATACTCTTTTCAAGGCATGAAAAATAACAATTAATTTTTATGCCACAAATTTCGAGCTTTTTAGTCAAAAATGAAAAAATCAATAATAAAAACAGTTTTTTCTTATTTACTTGATTCAATTATGGTAATTTGTTATTGGTATTTTTGTATAATCGTAGCTTTAAAATAAAATATTGCTACATTACATTACTATAATTTTTCTACATTATATAGATAGGTACCTACTATTATGGGTAAAAAATAATCTCTTTCACTTTGTCGACATTATGTGTTAACCTAAATAATTATTTTAGTTGGGTGTTTAAAAAAATATATGTTTACAATTATTTTATTATTATTTATTGTTATTTACCATTTTAAAGAAAAAGTATAATGTGGTATTCTATAGCATTAAAATTAATTAAACAATGTCATCAAATTGGTTTATAATCATTTAATTGAAAATCCTGTAGAGAACACCAGATTTGTCTTTTTTAAGGCTTTTTCCCCCACCAGATACAATAGTTTCAACATAAAGGTCGGAATCGGAAATGATTGTGGTATAACCAACCGCAACACTCCAGTTTCCTGGGTGCTTGCCATTAAAAAGTTCCAAATAAGCACTGGCTCTATTAGGTTCATCAACGTAGACTGTAATGGCTTCTTTTAAGCATTCTACTGCATCTACTGTCCAAACAATATTTGGAACTTTAGTGTTATTTGTGGCTTGGACCTAAAATAATAAATATTTTTTTGTTTAAATAAATTTAATAAACTAATAGTTGCATTTCCGAGCATTTATTTAAACTTACAGTAACTACTGTGTCATCCTTCAATTTAAATTCTTGGATAATTCCAGCAAATACACTGCCAATTATTAAGAATAAAGAGAAAATAACAATTTGTTGTCTCATTTTTGTAAAAAAAAATAGCGTATTAATACTGTAAAACAAGAAAACTATATAAAATTTATAGTTTTTCTTCCTTTTATATGATTTTGTATATATGTATACCGCGATAAATATGATTTGATAAATAATTTGAAGTATTTTGTTATGATATTATTATATTATGATATGATATATTGCAAAGGGATTTTTTCATTATTGTTGTTTTTATACAATATTTATTATGAATTTAACCAGGCAATATAATTTTTCTTTACAACTAATTACAACTAATCATATTTAAATTGGTAAAAACATATTCAATAATTTAAATATTTTTTTTAAATTTAACTAAATATATTATTATATTTTTATATTGTAACAAGCTAGAAATTAATGCATAAAATAAAAAATATTTGTTGAAATTAGTGTCCAACCGACTTATGTCAGACTTAAATTGAGTTAGTTAGTTTATTATTCCGTATACACTGAAAGAAAAATCTCTGCAATTTGAAATATCGGGTGACGTTCATAATATCGAAATTCACTTTATCGAATTCAAAATATCGAACACTTTTTATCGAAAATCAAAATATAGAAAATACAAAATGTCGAAAATCAAAATATCGAAAATTAAAATGTCGAAAATGATAATATCGAAATTTTATTTAATCGAATTTTCAATTTATCGAAAATAAAATATCGACGTTCATAATATCGAAATTCACTTTATCGAATTCAAAATATCGAACACTTTTTATCGAAAATCAAAATATCGAAAATACAAAATGTCGAAAATTAAAATGTCGAAAATGATAATATCGAAATTTTATTTAATCGAATTTTAATGTGAAACTAAACCATATTTTCTTATTTTGAATTTGATATTTTGTTTAAATATTTCAATTAATCGACATATTATTTTAATCCGAAGTGTATATGTATAGAGGCGCCTCTGATATAGAAATGTACTCAAACTCAACAACACAACCCAACCGACCCCGCCCCATTGGCCCCCCCCCGCCCCATTGAGCAAAAACCCCAACTAAAATGGGCTAATTTATGTAATTAAAAAGTGTTTTATTTTTATCGTAACATGAATTTGCCCATTTTAGTTGGGTTTTTTGCTCAATGGGGCGGGGGGGGCCAATGGGGCGGGGTCGGTTGGGTTGTGTTGTTGAGTTCGATTTTAATCATACATTTTAATTTTCGATATTTTTAAATCGATATTTTAATTTTCGAAATTTTAATTATTCGACATTTTCAAATCGACATTTTAATTTTCGATATTATCATTTTCGACATTTTCAAATCGACATTTTAATTTTCGATATTATCATTTTCGACATTTTAATTTTCGAAATTTTAATTATTCGACATTTTCAAATCGACATTTTAATTTTCGATATTATCATTTTCGACATTTTAATTTTCGATATTTTGATTTTCGACATTTTGTATTTTCGATATTTTGATTTTCGATAAAAAGTGTTCGTCAACTATCCAGCTTCACCACAACACGCAATTACAAGTTCAACTGACTTCAACGTCTGCAACATATTTTTCTATAATATAGAATAGCATTTATAAAAAAAGTCTTAGTAACAAATACCAACTTCTCAAAAAGAATTAAATTATAATAGATAACTAAACTATTTGTCTTGTCTTTACAAAGACAACATTTTGTACCGATGTAAACATTGCATTCCCAAAATTAAGTTAAGTTTTATTTGAACTAATCGAATAATCTGTTAAAACACGGAAAGATAGGAAAAACACTAGATGATAAAATTTATGTAGGGTGAAATACTACAAAAAATGTTGTTAAATGAACCTATAAATTTTATGATATTTCGGGTGACGTTCACAATATCGAAATTCATTATATCGAATTCAAAATATCGAACACTTTTTATCGAAAATCAAAATATCGAAAATACAAAATGTCGAAAATCAAAATATCGAAAATTAAAATGTCGAAAATGATAATATCGAAAATTAAAATGTCGATTTGAAAATGTCGAATAATTAAAATTTCGAAAATTAAAATGTCGAAAATGATAATATCGAAAATTAAAATGTCGATTTGAAAATGTCGAAAATGATAATATCGAAAATTAAAATGTCGATTTGAAAATGGCGAATAATTAAAATTTCGAAAATTAAAATATCGATTTAAAAATATCGAAAATTAAAATGTATGATTAAAATCGAAGTGTATATGTACAGAGGCGCCTCTGTAGATAAAGTTACGGTTATGCACCGAATTATCTTGGCTCCCTGGCTCCTAGAGATGCGCGTTTTATAGAAATGTACTCAAACTCAACAACACAACCCAACCGACCCCGCCCCATTGGCCCCCCCCCCCGCCCCATTGAGCAAAAAACCCAACTAAAATGGGCAAATTCATGTTACGATAAAAATAAAACACTTTTTAATTACATAAATTAGCCCATTTTAGTTGGGGTTTTTGCTCAATGGGGCGGGGGGGGCCAATGGGGCGGGGTCGGTTGGGTTGTGTTGTTGAGTTTGAGTACATTTCTATATCAGAGGCGCCTCTATACATATACACTTCGGATTAAAATAATATGTCGATTAATTGAAATATTTAAACAAAATATCAAATTCAAAATAAGAAAATATGGTTTAGTTTCACATTAAAATTCGATTAAATAAAATTTCGATATTATCATTTTCGACATTTTAATTTTCGACATTTTGTATTTTCGATATTTTGATTTTCGATAAAAAGTGTTCGATATTTTGAATTCGATAAAGTGAATTTCGATATTATGAACGTCGATATTTTATTTTCGATAAATTGAAAATTCGATTAAATAAAATTTCGATATTATCATTTTCGACATTTTAATTTTCGATATTTTGATTTTCGACATTTTGTATTTTCTATATTTTGATTTTCGATAAAAAGTGTTCGATATTTTGAATTCGATAAAGTGAATTTCGATATTATGAACGTCACCCGATATTTCAAATTGCAGAGATTTTTCTTTCAGTGTATACGGAATAATAAACTAACTAACTCAATTTAAGTCTGACATAAGTCGGTTGGACACTAATTTCAACAAATATTTTTTATTTTATGCATTAATTTCTAGCTTGTTACAATATAAAAATATAATAATATATTTAGTTAAATTTAAAAAAAATATTTAAATTATTGAATATGTTTTTACCAATTTATATATGATTAGTTGTAATTAGTTGTAAAGAAAAATTATATTGCCTGGTTAAATTCATAATAAATATTGTATAAAAACAACAATAATGAAAAAATCCCTTTGCAATATATCATATCATAATATAATAATATCATAACAAAATACTTCAAATTATTTATCAAATCATATTTATCGCGGTATACATATATACAAAATCATATAAAAGGAAGAAAAACTATAAATTTTATATAGTTTTCTTGTTTTACAGTATTAATACGCTAATTTTTTTTACAAAAATGAGACAACAAATTGTTATTTTCTCTTTATTCTTAATAATTGGCAGTGTATTTGCTGGAATTATCCAAGAATTTAAATTGAAGGATGACACAGTAGTTACTGTAAGTTTAAATAAATGCTCGGAAATGCAACTATTAGTTTATTAAATTTATTTAAACAAAAAAATATTTATTATTTTAGGTCCAAGCCACAAATAACACTAAAGTTCCAAATATTGTTTGGACAGTAGATGCAGTAGAATGCTTAAAAGAAGCCATTACAGTCTACGTTGATGAACCTAATAGAGCCAGTGCTTATTTGGAACTTTTTAATGGCAAGCACCCAGGAAACTGGAGTGTTGCGGTTGGTTATACCACAATCATTTCCGATTCCGACCTTTATGTTGAAACTATTGTATCTGGTGGGGGAAAAAGCCTTAAAAAAGACAAATCTGGTGTTCTCTACAGGATTTTCAATTAAATGATTATAAACCAATTTGATGACATTGTTTAATTAATTTTAATGCTATAGAATACCACATTATACTTTTTCTTTAAAATGGTAAATAACAATAAATAATAATAAAATAATTGTAAACATATATTTTTTTAAACACCCAACTAAAATAATTATTTAGGTTAACACATAATGTCGACAAAGTGAAAGAGATTATTTTTTACCCATAATAGTAGGTACCTATCTATATAATGTAGAAAAATTATAGTAATGTAATGTAGCAATATTTTATTTTAAAGCTACGATTATACAAAAATACCAATAACAAATTACCATAATTGAATCAAGTAAATAAGAAAAAACTGTTTTTGTTATTGATTTTTTCATTTTTGACTAAAAAGCTCGAAATTTGTGGCATAAAAATTAATTGTTATTTTTCATGCCTTGAAAAGAGTATTTTAGTTATTATGCAAGGTTTCCAATTGACACTCTCCAATGACTTTAATGCAAGAATGGTCCAATATACGCGATAGTATGTATTGCATAGGTACGTAATACGTACGTACTACGTATACGGAAGATGTAACGCCGCATGCATTGTTTTATTAACATACATTTATTTATATTACAAATTTTTAAATTTGAAATTTTTCTCCTTTTTATACAATTTACAAATATAGTGTGACCGGCAGTGGCGGCTCGTGGGTGTATAGGAGGGTTGAGGTTAATTTTGTCTAAATACGAATAAATTTCCACTTCACCCGGAAGGTATTATTCTGCGACGCGTTGACCTTTTTTTAAATGGCCGATAGCCCTACTAAGCCGTTATAAATAAAAAAAACAAAACAAACTGCCAAACTCAAAAACATTAATCGTTTTTTAAATCTGAAACTTAAATATATATTTATATGGATGGATAAAAATGTATATATGTACATATATGTATATATATATTTATATATAAAACAAATAAAATATCAGAGCAATCGGAATACGCACCCCCTGAATTCCAATTGTTTTTAACTCGGCTCAATAAAATACAATGCCAACAAATAAGCTTTGTTTATAAATACCTCCACATAGCCACTTATACCAAATTATTTAAAAAGTTCT